TCCCTACACAATACATTATAACAACTATTGACTATAACTATTTTATATAAGGGACTTAAGCATCTACAGGTTTTGGTGTCGTGGTGAGAGTTCCTGGAACCAATTCCCCACAGATATGGAGGGTCAACTCTCCTAGAAAATGTTTTGTTTTACGTATTTTCCATTAAATATAATTAATGATCTAATCAATTACCAAAAGTACTTTATTTGTGAACAATGTGAAAAGTAATGATGCTAGCTTTGTACAGTTTTACTTTCTGTTTGCAAAGTCTTACAAATTCAAAGTGATAATATGTTCATTTTCTTAGTCTTTCCTTCCCAAAGGTTCAATTTTAAAAAGAATATTACTGTTTTAAAACTTCAACAGGCTGTGCTTATATTTTCAAATTTGTCTGTAAGAGCTTGGTGCTATAAAAAGAAGGGCGAGTGGCTGTGAGAGAGAAAGAATGGAAGAGAATATCCTCACAGTTAATATTGATAAAATTATGAAAATTAATGGGTACTATCACTTAATATATAAAAACTTCCTGGTAGTGATTAATTTTATGTAAGGTAAATGTCAGAAAAAAATCAGTAAAACTTGCTAGTTACTTTAAATCAACTTATATTTTAATTCAGAAATTTAAATACACACATTTGTAGCAACTATAAAAAATACACCCGTTTTTTAAAAATGGCATTTTCAAGAAGGGAGTTTTAGCCAAAAGCAATAGCAAAATTTACATGATCACGGTAGGCTGAATCTTCATACAATATCCTTTAAACATCAGTAAGTAGAATTATCACACAACCCTCTCCTGCCATCAAATTATTTCAAACCTAATACTAGTCTAATGAACGAAAGTATAGAAATCTCTTTATGTCTCTGAACAGCATATGCTCAGAAAAGCATAAACATCACTTTCAATTCTTCAGCATCTTTCCCTGTAGCACACTCTTCTTTTAGTTCCTATAGCAATTACTCTGTTAAGTCAACTTAGGTCTAAAAAGTAAGGCTTTAGCCGAAACCGGTTTGGCTCAGTGGATAGAGCGTCAGCCTGAGGACTGAAGGGTCCG